TTATGGTGCCAAAGATATCTCTCCCTTTCGGTCGCCAGACGCTACATTCATTAAACATCGTTACATTCATTTTCGTGCATGTCTCTACGCTTTCTTGCAGGCGTTCCAAGGCCCGCCGGAAAAGTTCCCTACCAACTTCACGGTGCTGCAGCTTCTTTGAGACCTCAAACTCAGGTAGGTAAGGTAATCAGATGCCTCGTGGTGGTAGCCGGACTGGGCCGTGAGCCTCACTGCCTATGTGCCCCACAGGAGCGACAAGCCCCGCCCCCGCGGCTGGTGCTTCAAGTGCGGCGCCGCCGCCTCGCCCAAGTGCTGGGCCGAGCACGATGTCTTGGCCGTCGGCGCGGCTCTGAAGCGACGCTTGGAGGAGGGCGTGCTGCCGCGGGCTGCCGGCCAGCTCCAGGGCCTTCAGGACCAGGTCCAGGAGGAGCAGGCCGCGCAGGCCCTCACCTTACTGGGCGGCCAGTCCTGGGGCCTGACATTGCGGGGCGGGGACCGCCTGTTCTCGGGGACCCTGGCAGACGCCGAGGATCCCGTGACCCAGGCCTTGCTGCTCGGCGTGGTGGCCAAGGCAGGATTGACGGAGACGGAGGTGTGTCAAAATGTAGGGACTTAAGTTTGCTTGTATGCAGAGAGCGGCGCGTTTCGCTCTGTCATTTCATTATTTATTCCGTGCGCTGCATATTAGTCAGTGGATAGCCCCAAGTCCACTCGGCCACACGTCCTCATTGAAAAGTCATAGGGCAGGGAGCAGTAAGTGCTTTTAAAGTGCTTGAATTTCTTCAATGTGAGCAGTTTAATTTTTTCCAGGTCACAAGAAGCCAATATGAAGTCAACTGCTACGACCTTACCCTGTCGCCCAAGGCAAAGGATCGGGCCGACGACCTGGAATTAATTTGTGGGGTAATTCCATACAATCCATGCGCGACTAACGCCCCGGTGGGGCGGCAATAAAGTCTTGTTTCCCTTTGCTGCTCGGCTCGGCTCTGCGCTTGAGTAGTGGTAACTCATTCTTCTGCTGCAGGTGGAACGGCTGATCAACGTGGACTGTTCTCACAATGCCCTCCGCGAGATGCTGCAGGTGGCTGCGCCGACAGTGGAACATTTGAGCGTAGAGTATGCCACCCCTGCTGCCCTCCGGGAGACGTGCACCATGCCGCGACTCAAGAGGCTGCAAGTGATCACCAGTTGCCGGGATTTTGTCGACAATTGCGATGCAGATTCCAATGCTGTTCCCCTGCCGCAACTCCCGGGCGGACAAGGGCGCCTGCAGTGGCTGGAGGTGCAGAACCCTCGCCGCGCCCTCCTGGAGCTCCTGCTGCCGGCCCATCGCCTCACGCTGGAGGTGCTGCAGCTGAACAGCGGATTGTACAATTGTCAAATGACGTGCAGCAAGCTGATCGCTGTGCTGAAGCTGTGCGATATGCGTGCGCTGAGGCGGCTCGTGCTGATAAATGTGCTGCCCAAGATGTACAACACTTACAAAGATCACCAGCTGAATAAAGATATCTGCCCGAGGCAGCGCAGCATGCTGCGGCGGGTACTGCCCGCGGGGGCTGAGGTGCTCTGCTGGCTGTGTGACGGCGAGGAGGGTGCGCCTCTGAGCGAAGTCTTCTAGGCGAGCGGGGGTCGGACAACCACCGGTGCTGCGCCTGCTCGCACACTGGACCGAGGCAAGCTCGGAGCCCTCGTTCGGGGGTGATGAACACAAGAGGACACGTACTACATGCCGCCTGGAAGGCCACCACCGTTTTCAAACGAGGCTTTATTTTCAATCATTTTCTTCGGTGCACTTTTATGCTCTTCCGTCTAGTGGGTACGCAACATCATCACCCTCTCCACTCATGTCACCCTCTGTAGCCTGGCACCTGATTTGGGAAGTTACATAAGTAATCGGCGGCGGCGGCTCCCCGCCGCGTGTGACAGCCTGTGCCGTGCAGCATGTCGTTTTGTGTGCCCTTGCCTGAATACCAAAAGATTTCTCTTTGTACAGGATTTTGAGTTTATTGCGATGTTTTCATCTCTTTTTGTAATGTTCTTTCCTCAATCAATGAAAATAATGAATCTCTTGGCGTACGATGTGTTTGATTACTGAACACAATTTTCATCAAGACGCAGAAATGCATTTCACCCCATGCGGTGGCGAAATGAGTCTTGGTCTCCGCAATTACAAAGCAAATGCTTCGTAGTTACAAAGGATCAAAAAAATTCTTCAGATGATCTAAATTTACCGAATTTTAAAAAGTAACTATTAATAAGACGCCACACGTTTTCAAGCCCGACACTCCCCCACTAGGCTCTCAGGGCGGGCCGCCGTCTCTACACAGCTGCTTGCCGGGCTAGCCTACCCAGCGCGCTGCAGGCGCTGTTATTGTGCTCACAGGTGGGAACACGTTTATAGGACGACGACCTTGATCTAAACGCAATCGCTTGCCTTGGTGCTTCATAGCTTTCGCGAGAGCCGTGCAGCGTTGATGGTGAGGCCGTTGGATCTCGATCACCGCGGTCCGGGCTCATTCAATTTTCCCGCTTCCTTCTCAGTCGCTGCTTTCACGCAAATGTTCTGGAGCCCGCCCCCTCCTCCCCACCTCGCCAATCCCCCCTCTCAGCGGAGGGGTGGATCGGTGGATCGGTCGATCGATCGACCGATCGGCGGTTTAAATTTTCGTAAAACGGCCACATCAGCATAAATTAGGGTAAAACCATATATTTTCGGAAAGAGGAAAGAAATAGGGAAATGTTTTGTCAAAATATCGGTATTGCGGACGCATTCTCAAAAACATAGGTTATACGACCTTTTCCTCAAATAATACAAAGTACCGATATTTTTGGATAATCGGGCTCCTTGATATTTCCTCTTTCCGAAAATATTTGGTATTACCCTAATTTATGCTGATTTAGCCTTTTTACGAAAATTTAAACCGCCGATCGGTCGATCGATCGACCGATCCACCGGGCAAGGAGCCTCAGCTCAGCTCTGATTCCTGCATTGGGCGCTTTGACTTCTATTGAGTTCGACCTCGCCCGAGTTATTTCCCTGTGCCTTCAAACAGAGCAGTTCTCTGAAAGCATCATCCGCAACCTGATCCTGAGCTGTTGGGTTGGGAGCTGGCCAGCATTGAGCGTGAAGCAACAACTGGTGAGTCTAGAGAAACGTGAAGACTGGTGAAACAAACGAAGCGGCGAGAGGTTAGGTTAAAAACTTATCAGGCTGCGGTAAAAATCCATGTTCTAACACGGTCATATGTAACCACATGAAAACACATATCACATTGCGAGTTTGTAATTGAAAAAAAATCTAATGCGGAAGGTGCAGAATGAATTGATTATTGTTGATCATACCCAGTGAGAAATGCGGATATCAAATTGACATCAGAACGATATCGGACATCAGAAAAGTGTCGATTTCGGGCCCATTTTTGAATCAGTTCTGAGTCAGAAACTTGAAAACGATATCGTTCTGATATCGATTCGATATCGCTTAAAATTCATTTCGCACTGGGTAGGGTGCCTTGAAGGGGAATACCCATGCATGTTCTTGTTCTTGGGCCTGAGTGAGGTATGGCGTAATGAACCATCTGTGTCGGCTTGTTGGCGTTGGAGCTCATCTGGGCGCCGGGAACAGCTTTTACCCATCTCTGCACTGCACTCTGCCCAGACAGGCCCATCATGATTTGCAACATCTGCACTGAGGCGTTCGACGAGGGCGAGCGGCTGCCCAAAGTGGTCATACCATGCGCGCACTCCGTGTGCCTGAAGTGCCTGCAGCAGCTGAGCGACAAGAAGTGCCCGACGTGTCGTCAGGTACGTGCTCAGTACACCGCGGGATGCTAGCCCTTGCCCATTTCAATTAACCGTTTGTCTGCAACGGATCAAGAAGAAGAAAAGAAGAAGTTTGTGTCAAGAACAAGAATACATGGGCCGGTGGGCCGGCCGCCATGTTCTTGACACAAACTTCTTCTTTTCTTCTTGATCCGTTGCAGACAAACGGTTAATTAAAATGGGCAAGTTTCCCCAGTATACGGTTCCACACAAGTCTCATCCTTCGTTCGCTAGTCGGAGCACTACCGTTCCATGAATGTACCTATACGCGCTCTTTTCCTTGCCAGGCGTTCCAAGGCCCACCGGGAAAGTTCCCCAACAACTTCGCGCTGCTGCAGCTTCTCGGAGATGTCAAACTCAGGTGAGTGGTCAGCTGAGATGCCTCGTGGTGGCATGGTAGCCGTACTGGACCGTGAGCCTCACTGCCTATGTGCCCCACAGGAGCGACAAGCCCCGCCCCCGCGGCTGGTGCTTCAAGTGCGGCGCAGCCGCCGCGCCCCAGTGCTGGGCCGAGCACGATACCCTGGCCGTCGGCGCGGCTCTGAAGCGGCGCTTGGAGGGCGTGCTGCCGCGGGCTGCCGGCCAGCTCCAGGGCCTCCAGGACCAGGTCCAGGAGGAGCAGGCCGCGCAGGCCCTCACCTTACTGGGCGGCCAGTCCTGGGGCCTGACACTGCGGGGCGGGAACCACGTGTTCTCGGGTACTCTCGGAGCCATCGAGGACCCCGTGACGCAGGCCTTGCTGCTCGGTGTGGCGGCCAAGGCAGGACTAACGGAGGTACGTCAAAATGGGGGAACTTGAGTTTGAAACTGTAGAGGAGCGCTGAACCCTGCAGTTATCACACGCATGGCATATAAGGCCCTGCCCACTTTGTGGCCACGTTCCCGTGTTAACAAGTCAGAGGGGAGCATTTTGTCACTTTTAATGCTTGGCTATCTACAATGTGTACATTTGCAATTTCCCTCCAAAAAGGCTACAAGCAGCAAGGGAAAATATGAGGTCCATTGGGACTGGGACCGAACCGATTCAGCCAAGGCCAAGGATCAGGCTGACAACGTGGAATTAGTTCGTGGGGTGAGTTCATCCAATCTGAGTCACTGACTCTGTCAGTGTAACATACAATACGCGCCGGCATCAGCATTTGTTTCCCTTCGTTGCTCGTCTCTGCGCGTGAGGCGTGGTAACTCTTTCTTCTGCTGCAGGTGGAACGGCTGATCAACGTGGACTTTTATGACAATGCCCCCCTCGAGGTGCTGCAGGCGGTTGCGCCGACAGTAGAACACCTGAGTGTGTCCTTTGCCACCACTGCTGCGCTCCGCGAGACCTGCGCCATGCCGCGACTCAAAAGGCTGCAAGTGATCGACTGCAGTTCTGACTTTTGCGACAAGGACGATGCAGATTCTAATGCTGTTCCCCTGCCACCACTCCCCGGCGGACAAGCGCGCCTGCAGTGGCTGGAGGTGCTGTCCCCGCGCCGCGCCCTCCTGGAGCTCCTGCTGCCGGCCCATCGCCTCACGCTGGAGGTGCTGCAGCTGGACAGCTGTCATCCGAGCGATGAGTATAAAATGACGTGCAGCAAGCTGTCCGCTGTGCTGAAGCTGTGCGATCTGCGTGCACTGAGGAGGCTCGTGCTGATAAATATGCTGCCCGACATGCATTACACGTACGAAGATCACCTGCGCGTTAAAGATCACTGCTCGAGGCAGCGCAGCGTGCTGCTGCGGGTACTGCCCGCGGGGGCTGAGGTGCTCTGCTGGCTGTGTGACGGCGAGGAGGGTGCGCCGCTGAAGGAAGTCTTCTAGGCGAGCGGGGGTCGGACCATGCCGTCGGCGCTACCGGCGCTGCGCAGCACGCGCACACCGCACCGGGATTGAAAGTTTTCCGAAAGTTTTCTATTATTTTTTCTAAAATTATCTAGTTAATTATAATTAAATAAAAATGATTATGTCCAACTCTTGACGATTGTATTATTGGTCTATTCAATCAATTTTCGTGAAGACGTCAAATAATGGAATTTCCGGCACGAATGCGCGCCGAACACGTGTCTCGTTGTGTGAGGCTCTGCGGCCGATCTGCGCGACTGCGTGTCTGGGACCGTCTAAAATGCCTTTGTGCCAGGCCTGGTGACCCGCGGAATAAATATATTTCTCGGTCATACGATATTATATTGTAAACAAAGGTCCTCAAAGACTTCTCTATGAGTAGGACACGGAGGGTGTCGCTGTTGTATGTGTACAAATCGTCCTACAGGGGGACAGACAACTGTCGCGCACCCTCGCCATGGAGGCGCTCTTCCAGAATGAGGACCCCCTCCCCTCCCTCACGGGCCACACCGCCGCCGGCCGGCCGGCCCCGCTGCCCCTTACTTGCCCTCCCCGCTCGCGCTCCCCACACATCGCGGTCTCTGCATACAGCAGCTCATATTTTTCGCGGGCGTTCCGTTCCACTCGACGCTGCTGCACTTGAGCTCGCTCCATAGGCCTATACATCCCCCCGCGGGCGCCCCGGCCCGCCTCGGCACCACGCATGACTAACTCTTTATAAAGCCGCCCCGTAGCTTGGGGGAGGGGCATAAGAGAGGCATTACAGTCAGAAGATTGCGTTCGTAGGTTACATTCCCAACGACAACGGCCTCGCTTATTACGCAAAGTGCGTGTCATTTCTCGGGGAAATTTTTACTGCGAGACGTGTTATTTCTGTGGCATCTAACGATTTCATGTCCCATATTTTTATAATCATGATCGAGAGATGATGTGGTTGGAATGGATCTTTTCCAGCTTTTATAGAATGATCAAATTTCCCTGTACAAAAAAAATTGGAAACAAAAAAAAATGATATAATAAAATACTTATTTTTGATACACAATAGACCCAGCTTGCCCTCACGGCGCCAGGCGCCGCCCTCGCCGTAAAGCACTGCGGGTTGACGCGCGTAAAGGGCTGAGCCGGGCGGGAGGCATGGCAGCCAATCCCAGGGGCGTCGTAACTCTCATTCATTCTCGAGCCACTGCAGCTCTTTTTTATCACGGAAGGCGACAAATACCTGCACCCCCTCCCTCCTGGCCCACCTTCTGCTACACGTGTCATCCAGGTGCCTCGGAGAGTCGCCGTACACAGCACATGTACCAGTCCAACTTGGTGTGCACTCGGACTCATTTACCTACCAACCTGCGGGTGGGGGGCGCCTGCGGGGTAGGCAGTCCCGTCGAGCGCATCTGCCCGGCGGCACGGCCCGCCCTGCGCCTGCAGAGCTGCCCAGTAAAAGCTAAAACGGGGAGAGTAAGACGATTCGCTGCCCTATAGAGCCGGATCAAGCATCGTCACCGGGTATAGCATGGCATACCTGCGTAGCAGCCCGTCTTCCCTTTTAGATCCTTTCCGAACGGCAGGGCAGCTGAGCAGCAGTGCCCTCCTTCGCAGATCGGAACAACACTCGAGCGCGCGGGGACATTTTTCTCGCTTCGGAGTGATGTGATGGAACATCCGGTTACAGCGATAAGGAGTGAGGGGGCGGAGGACTCCCCTCACCTCCCCTCCGCCCGGCGGCCGGTGACTCCGTGTCGCAGCAGTCGCCGGCACGAGTGCAGTCCCTGGGGCGGTGTTAGCGGCTAACCGGCTCCGTACGTGTGCGGCCTATCTCACCGCCCGCCCCGCCCCGCGCAGAGATATGGCGAGAAGAGAGAGGGAGCTCGAGAGGGAGCGACGGCAGGAAAAGGTCAACGCTAAAGTTTTACCTGCCGGAATATATTGCCATGTAGTTGTATTGGGTTGTCTTCGGTCTGCGTCAGTCGCCGGCAGCGTGCGCCAGCCACAACCCTCCGCGCCATTATGCGAGGAGAGGGTTGTTGTGCTCCTCAAGGGTGGCGCACCGGCTGCATCGGCTGGGCTGGGCTGGTCCTGATGGACCCCGTCCCCGCCGCGCCACGCCACGCCAGGCCACGCCACGCCACGCCACGCCCCACAACGACGTGACAGAAATACAGGCGGAAACAAGGAATGCGGCGGTGCCGGAGCTCGGAGCACAGCCATGCGGAAGGGCGGGTCTATTTGATTTTGTCTTCGCATCACAAGTACATGAGAGGGGCAGAAGCGTCTCGTTGTGGCCAACGATGAGCGATAGATGGAGGACATCATAGAGGGGGAAATCGGACCATATACGGATTCGTTTTTTTTTGGGGGGGGTGGGGTCGTTATGTGTTTGTTTCTTTCCCTAGTGATTAGTGATGTAAGCAACTGCTCTAGATGCCCAAAATGTTCACGACAGTAGCCTAAGAGATTCCTCCCACGGCCAGCCGGTGCGCGCCGGGCCGACACGGCGAGACCCCGCAGCAGATGTCTGCCTTGTCCGGCCGGGGTGTTCCGTCGTGTCGTGTCGCTCCGGATCGACAGCAGGCGAGGGAGCCCCGTCCCCGTGCAGGCGGGGCGGGGCGGGGCGGGGCGGCCGGGAGGCGCGTCCAGCCCGGATGATGTCGCTGTCCCCCATGATGGATGTGCCCAGCCCGGCGCGCTGCGGGTCGCCTGCAGCAGAGGGGACGTGACCACTGCTATATCCAGTTAAGAATTGGTCGTTTCCACGCTTTGCGCAGCGCACGCTCACGCCGGCGTGAGGCGGGCGAGGGGCAGGGTGCGGGCAGGGTGCGGGGAGGCAGCGGCGGAAGAACTGCTAACCCTCTTCGTCCCCCGCTTCCCCTCTCGCCCTCCGCGCTCACGCCAGCGTGAGCGCGCGCTGAGCATGGAAACGACAAAATTCTTAACTGGATATAGCACACGCGGGGCGGGGGAGTCCCGGCCGCCGCCGCGCTGCCTCCACGATACGTACCGTGCAGCTGTTGCGTCCAGGATCCTCTTGCTTTGCGGCATCGCTTCGCTACCCCCTTTCCCCCTCTTACTGCTCGTTGATTTTCATTACCACTCTCACGATATCTTAAAAGTTTTCCGCCGTATGAGATGTCACCAATCTTACTCTCATTCTGTGTGTACCACGGTGTGGTGACACTTTGCTGTTGTTTCCAACCCTCAAAATGCGCAGCGTCACTGAACGTGTTGTGTCAACTGTATATTTCAGTGCCCTCTTCAACAAATGAGGTATTTTACGAATAAGAAGAACAGGAGGAATCCCGGCCGACGTCTGCTCCCGGACCATAACAAAGCCACGACCAAGCGCACGGTTTCTCGCGTATCTCCGCTAAAACTGAAAAGAAGTCATAACTGTTCTATATCATTTTAAAGCTGAGAACCTCAAAAATCTGGTACACGAGAAACCGTTTCGTTATGCGCCAGTGACCTGAGACTTGTTGTGGTCCAAAAGCCGTGATTCCTTCTGTTCTTCTTATTCGTAAAATACCTCATTGTTCAAGTCAATCTACTATAAACTTTTAAAGTGGAATACACAACAAATCTGAAGCGATAAGCCAAGCCCGAGTGCCACCCCTGGGGGCCGTCGAATCAAGTCGGATCCTACCGAACGGCGCCGATCCCGACTGACTGTGAGCCTACTCGGTCGCCCGAGCTCCGCGTCGGCGACGCTCGGCTTCGAACCCGAGCACGGAGCCTTGGATCCGAGTGGATGCCTAGCAAGATGCCTCCTATTTTGGGTATAAGTGACCACGCCTGCAAGAAGACGAGACGAAACCTGAACATACCCATGAATGGAGCAGAAACAGCTGATGAAAACAACGTCGCACAAGATAGAGCAAAGTACATCTGCTTTGGGAAACACCCACTACCTCAATATGCTATCAAATATTTCTAGTTTACTAAATGAGATGTATTTAACTTGCCTGTGATATTAATAATGGCCGACAAAAGCCATGTCAGTGAGGTAAGTTAATACATAGGTTATGGACCTGGCCGTGGTCGTTGATGTAAACAAACCCAAATGACACCAGTTAGAGTGTATATTTTTGATGCCATCCCGTACATTGTTGAGATATCGGATCATATGGACTTTTATCATTGATTTGTACTAAATTTTCGTTTGTAGGGCCTCTTCCTACTCTTCACGATTGTCATATGGACCTAATACTTCTTGTTCCATCTATAATAACATGTGTGTTTGCAAACACTCACAGTTCAATGCCCTTTTCTTTAAAATATTAATTAGTTTATCTAGAGATCTGGACCTAGTAACATTGTACCTGTCATGTTCTTAAATCATCTGTAACAGTCTGAGGGGGATCAATCTCCCTGTCTCCGTCTTCTTTAAAAACCACTTGACTGAAGGCCATTCAACAGATTCATTCAAGTTTGTGGAACAAATTCGAATTTCCCTGAGCTCACTGTAGAATTCATGCTGTTCATAGTAGTGATTTTGATTTCTGTGTGCCCTCATTTTAGATACAATTTTAAAAGAAGTTGCTATCAACTCTATTTGTCATTTATTAATTTGACCTTCGTAATATTTGTATTCCAACTGCATCTATTTCTTTCATTATTCCAGGAGGTTTCTTCTCTTAAAGCAGATATAATTTATCTATTGATGAGGAAAAAATATCATGTATCCTGTAATATAAGGGTTCAATGGTATTTAGATCACCTGAACACATATGTTACCACACCTCCACCATCAATATCTCAAGACTTTGTAAGTATGAATCAGTGTACTTTTTATGTTGGTAAATTTAAATGAATTTTATTGATTAAGATAATAATAAACTGGTTTTGAATTATTAATATTTGTAAAACATACATTTTCAGGAAAATGAAGATAAAGATCTTACTGTTGTGTCAGTTTTGCCTCTGGAGCCACCAAGTGACTGGCTTCCAGAGGTCAGTCATTGCTACCGTTACCTTGTTACACCTCAGTCATCTATTGTGTTCCTCACCCACCGATATAGATTTGCATTTTGTTTAGATATGAGTCCATCAGTTTCAGCTGTGGTATGACTAAAATAAATCTGTCAAAATGACATTTATTATTATTTTCCATTTTCTAAATCCTACTTTTATTTTGCAGGATACTCAACATGGTGAAGTCATGTCTGATGAGACTTTACTGTCATTTAGGAGAAGTGTAGAAGGCATGGTTCAACCGGTATGTGTTTATCCTTTGAAGCGATTGAGATGGAACTGTTAACTATAATCCACATAATAACTACAATTCCTTGCTTCATTATTTTTCAGTTTACAATACCTGGGTCCTGTGTAAAGTTTCAACCAGAAATTTATGTGACAGTCATAGCACATACACCATTTTTCGCCACACCTGCCCAACAGGTCTATCTATCTATAATATTTCACTTCCACTAATGCTTGGAAGTACCTATGTATCTTACTAATACTATTGAATTTTTTCCATTTGTTGATAGGTTTTAGTTCAAGGTTGGAGAGTTACACCCCAAAATGTCAAGAACCTCTTGTCGTGTGTTGAATCCCAATTAGTAATGCTGGAAGATGTTGTGGCAGATGTGACAAGGTCTGCTCATGAGCAATTGGATGCCTTAAGAGTAAGATTTCTGTTTCTATTTATGTGTTTTAGTTCCTCTTTTATGTAATTAAATTTATATCTGATCTAATTACTGTATAGGCAGAATCTGAGCGCCTTGTGGGAGATCTTTTTGAAGAGGAGCAATCAGAAAGTCAGGCACCATCAATAATTGCTGGTAATATACCCATGGTTAGCCCAGATGCTGGTTTTATTAATATGCTACGATATGGACTTCTGGCACTTAGATTATTACCTGATTGCAGCTCTTCCAGTAAGTTATTCTATTAAAAACTTTGCAAGTATCCTACACAGAATAAATAACAATCAAACTATTTCTTCCTCCCACAGATTTAGTTGTACTGACCGATGGTGTAATAGCAACACCTGATGTGAAAGTACTTGATTCAGTTGTTACTCAGTTACGTGCAAATGCAGTTGCCTGCTCATTTATTCAACTTGGGAGCAGATTTCATCCCCACTGTTGTGCAGGCTTGATTCCTTACAGGGATCTGTTACAGTATCTTGCTGGTGCAACACAGGGCTCATATGTCACCAACCCAGGAGAAGTAAGTGTCCAAGTCCCGCAATTGGAAGATTAGCACGATGTCTTACAGCAAAATTTAATGCACTCATTTATTTATTAATTGTCTTTCAGCTGAAATCTGAACTTATGAGTATGAATTTCTATCACAAAGCTTTTCTCACATGGTCCTTCAGACGACCTAGTTATGAGTTTAGCAATCCATTGCCCCAAGAAGGAGAATGGAATGTGAGGTATGTACTAATATCTCCCAGCACTTGTTCATTTAGTGCCTATCTTACTGTTACTTTCATCATTTTCTAGTAACCACCTCTTTTATGGACGTCACGAACCTCAACTGTTGTCCAAGAAACAAGCTGAAGACAAACTTAACATTTCACTTCACAGTCTTCTATGTTGTAGATTGCATCAAGGATACACTGTCAAAGTAAGCCCGTTGGATAAAACTCTGCCAAACATGTCACTAGTCACGTATTTTTAGAGTAGTGCAACATCAAAATTACACTAATATGTAAAGTTAACTATGTTTTTAAAAGTTCTACTTCTACTCCCAATTTCACAGGGTGTATGCATGAAAGATGGACAAGTTGAATTAAATTTGGTTCAAGCTTGGAATTCTCACATATATCTTGACTATAAAGTGACTTCACCATGGCCAGGTGGTTACCCTGTTCACTACTCACTATCTATTCAAGGTCAGAAAAAACTTCTTAATAACCTATCTTACTCATAAAATTCTATTCCATTAATTTTGGGTTCTTTATCTCTATCTTTATTTCATCTGTTATTTTGTATTCCACTCCAGCACCATATGAGTTTCTTCATGACATTACATGTCTATTGAAAAAACCTCTTGGATCGCCATATCGGCAACTAGTTGTTACTCGATTTTGGCATACTCTGAAAATTCTTGGCCAGTCAGATCAATTACTTGTTCACTTGCACTCTCTTGGATCTGCTGCATCAACACCACCAGATGTTGTGAGGAGTGGAATGCCTCTCTTCTACCCTCCCTCATTAGCTGTTCCCTCAGCATTGCCTGTTCTTGCATCCAGGTAAAATTGTGCATTCTTGTCATAAATCTGCAATTATTGTTAAATTATTGTTGTAACCGTTTTTGTTTTTCTGTCTAAAAGTGAGTCAAGCTGTCAGCAGTTTGCTACATTTTGGCGCCCATTAACCATGTTAGATCCAGCAATGTGGCAAAGGTGGCTTCACACTCACAACTTAGTACTTCTACTACGTCATGATATCCCTTTACCACAGTATCTACATTTACCTAATAATAGTGGTCGCTATCAGGTAAGTGACTGGCTTCTGTCCTATGATTTATCTGATCCTTTCTGTTTCATTCTTGATTGATCAATCTTATGTCATCTTATTGTTTTGTCATCTTGTTTGTTTCAGGTTGTACAATGTCGCCATGCTGCTCTTTCTCTATATGCATTACTAAAAGACTGGAGCTCCTTTGTACTGATTGATAATCATTCCTATGTGAAATTTGTTCAAGGGTATGTATTCAACTCTTTTTTTATGGTGTGATACATATATCAAAATGGGTATGCTTTGCTGAGGACAGCCATAATCTTAATGTTGCATTTATAGGGTTCCTCGAGATCCATCCTCTTCTTGGTTTTTCCTCATAAGAGCTACCTCAAAGCCTCCATGTGTGGTTGTCCAGCTTGCATTTCTTGGTGGGACATCAGCAGAACTGAGATACCAGGTCAGAAGAAATAAGACCTTTTCTGTTGAAAAAAATATATTTTTTTTCCTTGGCTTAATCTGTAATTATTTGTTTGCAGATGGTTGAACAGCTTTCTGAAAAAATCCAACAGCTCACTTTTCCTCAGAGGCCTTTGTCAAATACCAGCTTAAGTTGCTGTCTGTCACTTCACAAACCTGTTGACAAAATTCTTATCCGGTAAGATCATTTCATAATTATTATTGCCTATTTTTCATATGTTGTAATTCAATACACATACTTACATTACTTTTATTTAGGTATGAACGCATGCCGTCTGCATTAGACACTGTAGTTTTCCCTGACGGAACTCAGCCAGCAATGGCTGCTCACTGGGGCAACACAGTCACGGCCGGGGCTGGTTCACTCCTCACTACCCTCTCCCGATATCTTTATCATCGGCGCTGGGTATGGGCTGCTCAAAGCAGCCCCCACTTCCCTCTCGGGCAAGATGCCATTGCCAGGATTCTTGCCACACTCACTAAGTAAGTCACCCACCTACTTTATCACTTTATCATGCACCCAATGCTATCTTAAATTTTTGTTGCAATTTCTAAAAATAATATATGTTGTTTTTTCTTTTTACTCTCTACTACTTTAGAACAAGACTGAAAGAAGGGTTCTGTTTTGCTCATTCTACTGCTGGTATCATCAATATGGTCTTAGAAGTTGAAATGATCGTAAGTATAATTAAAGTGGATCATATATTCAAATTCTTTTTACTTTACTTTTACTTACTTTTCCATCTCGTGTCACATGACAGCAACAAGAAGGTGGAGATGAGAAAAATCCGCCTCAGTTCTGTGTTGTGCAATACGTCCTTTTTCCTCCTCATCTTGCAAACACCAGTCTGAAAGATAGGTATATTGATAGGAAGATCCAAACTTAATTCACAGTTCTCAAACCCTAAAACAAACTGTTAATTTGTTTAAATTTTATTTCTTTGTTTTCAGTGGTTCTGAAGATGAAGGGGTTGATGATGCTGACGCAAATGAAGAGGGGGAGATGCAATTGGTGATGGAGTGTTGGGTAGAGCCACAACATGGGAAAGTCACCAACTCTCCTACTCAACGTTCTTACATGAATGGTCTACCATACTTCCGAATTGCTGATGCTGTAAGTTTACCCACCGTACCAGTTATTTTCTACTTACTGTACTATTTTCAGTAGTACTGTTAATTAAGGAAAGTGCATTTTCTTACAAGAGCAACTTTTTAAATATTTTAATTATAGATATGCCAAGTGGATGCTCAGTGCATATCATCTTTACTGACAATGGAGCATGTACGCCTTATGTGTGAGCAGGGACATGTACAACCCCCACAATCCTGTGATGCTGCACAAATACTTTCAGAGTAAGTAAAACAGTTTAGTTTTTCTCCCTCTCTATCAGTATATTTAATTTTAAGTCAATTCTATTATTTTTTACTCCAGATTTCCAAGAGGCGCAGCGGTATGGGCAGAGCCTAGAATTCAGTGCCTTCCTTTTGCTTTTAATCTTACTAGCCTACTTCCTCTCTGCCAACAAGCTGAACTTCTTTTTTCCATGTACATTCAAGGTAAGCATATTTTGTTCTTATAGATCTATTTTGCCTTACAAAACAGTTGTGAAATTTAAGTAACTGTCATCTAATCTTACAGATTTAGCAAATGGGAGCTCTGCACGAACAGGCAGTGAAGCTGTTGAACAGAACCCTGATGCTCCTAATCAAATGATGTTAAATATCATGCTGGATCAATTATCAGTGCTGCATGACCGAGAGCTGCCTTTAAGTGAAGAAGACTCAGAAAGATTTATGCACCACATAAGAAACCGTAACAGGCCACTATCTGCCCCAGCTTTGCCTATTCCTGGTCAGTATTATTCTATGTTGTTTTTAGTTGTTTTCCAAATATTTTTTGTGAGATTTTAATTTCATCAAGTGTTTTCAATTTTAGATAAATGTGGCAGGGGGAATTGGCGCTGTTTTGTGCGAAGGACAAGCCCCAACAGAGTTCTTCTGACAATAGTGCCAGCAAGCTTTGCTGATCTCAAGGCAATCATGGTTCCTAATCTCAACTTTGAGCAGCTCCGTGGAATAAAACTAGTCACCCCACGGAATGACACTGTAGGTATTTGTGTTAATAATCCATGTCACCATGAATGAAAGTCACATTGTATTTTACCGACGGCATCCATCCGTCTCTGCAGTTTGCAGGCGATGTCTTCAACGGCGTCCCGACCGAGGCGCACCCTGATTCACTGGAGGCGCTTGGAACGCCCCTGGGTACGCCCCTGCCGACGGGTACGCCCGCCACCCCGCACACGCCCCACATCCAGCAGGCCACTCCCCAGGCCACGCCCAGCCCTCACACCCCGTCCACCTGCGACCCCTCCTCGTCCTTCCTGTTGAACCACTTCTCCCGGCGGCTGCGCACCAGTCACCAGGACGTGGGCGCGTCCTCCTCCCTGGACTCGCCCTTCCGCATGCGCGCCGCGTCCTGGGACCCCAAGCCGTCCAGGGCGTCGACGGGGCCGTCCCTGGCCTCGCTGGCGAGCTCGGCGAAGAGGCCGCGCACCAGCTCCATGGGGGCCAAGGCGAAGCCGTGCAGGCTGAGCCTGGGCACGCCGGGCATGAGTCCCGCGATGAGCCCGAGCCCCAGCCCGAGCCCCAGCCAGGCTGCCCACGCCAGCGCGGCGACCACCGCCAGCACGAGCACCACGACCGAGTCGTCCCCGCTGGCCTGCCCCTCGGGCGCCACCACCACGCCCGGGATCCCGGTGCCGCGCACCGCGACGCCCAGCAAGCACCGCGGCGAGTGGGACCGGGCGTCCTACGAACGCTCCATGAGCTGCGAGGCCTCGGTGTTCAGGACGCGCACCCAGTCCATGGACTCTAAGAACAAGCACTACTCTTCCAGTCAGAACCAGGTGAGTCCACGTCGACGTCGCCGTGACCGCGCGGCCCGGGCCGCCAGACTGACTCGATTCGTTTCTCACAGTCTTGAGTCATCCAGTTTCTCACACCGTGTCTCCTCGAACAGGTCTTTGTCCGGAAGGACGGTAGTGACGGAGGGCTAGGCCTGCACCGCAACCGCTCTAGCTCCATCGACCTCAAGCTCAAGCTGCCCACGCGCAGGCGCACCATCTCGAGCCAGGCGTCCTACACGCTCGGCTCACCCAACCCGGACGTGACGCCTACCAAGACCTTCTCCATGCCGGTGCCGGGCTGCGGGCAACGCGTCGAGGGCTCCATCACGCTGCCCGTGTACGTGTTCGACTGCCCGCTGACGCCCTCCCCGGAGGCGGAGCTCGACGTCCCCGCCGACATCTTCGAGGACCGCACCTTCAAGTGGGACTGGCCAACGGGGAAGTCTACGCCCACCATCACCACGGCGTCTGCGCTGAGCCGTCTCTCCGGGAGGGAGTCTGCGGAGCGCGCGGCGACCCCTCCGGAGGACGACAAGGAGGCTGAGAAAGGCGACGTCCTCGCGGACACCTCCGGGCCCGCCAGCCTGGACAGCACGGCGCCGGGGGCGAGCCAGACTGGTCCGGCCGCCCCGCCCAGCCAGTCGGCGCTGCAGCAGATGGGGCGCGCGCTCAGCCTGGCGTACAGTCGCTGCTTCGTGCTCGCCCTATTCGAGTCGCTGCAGAGCGGGCTGCACGTGCACGCCGTGGACGTGCAGCAGGCCGTGGACGAGTGCGAGGAGGCGCTGGTCGAGGTGGACATCACCCGCTTCCTGCACACGGTCTGCGGCCACCTCAACGGCGGCGGCCCCACGCGCTGCCACGACCTCAAACTCTTGCACCGCCTCATCAAGGACAAGTTCCGCACCATCCTGCACGCCGCGTTCCGCCCCGTGACGACGCACCCCGAGTTCCACTACTGCGTGCCGGCGGGCGCCGGGCCGGGCTGGGACCACAAGCGGATGCCCGGCGGCACCATGCCGCTGCACGTGCCCCTGTCGGCGCTGCACATCCCGCTGCACGTCCCCCAGGACCCGCTGAGCGGGCCGCTGCTGCAGCTGGCCGGCTGGGACGGCGTGCTCATGCCGGGCATCCTCAACACCCCGGACGACGCGCACACCTCGCTGCTCTCCAACATGGACTCCAACTCGATGAGCGAGGTGGTGGACGACACCCAGCTCCCCGAGGAGGTGTCCCCGCTGTTCCTGCACCTCGTGTGCTCGGTGCACGCGCACGGCGATATGGCCAGCTACGCCACTCGCGCGCTCCCGACCTGCGTCACCGAGCTGGCGCGCGGGCTGGACGACAACGTGGGTGCCAGCGCGGCCAACAGCTCGGGCGCGGGGGTGGGGACCACGAGCGCGCTCCTAGCCAGCCAGGGCTGCCAGGTGAGTGTCCAGACATAGTCTCATTGATTGGAATTTCAGGCGAAGGCCGATAGCTGACCACTCACCCCCGTCCATCTTCCTCCCCAGGTGACTTTGGACATCCTCTGCCTAACGCTGACCCGCGAGCCCGAGTCTCTGTCGCTCACCGAGCAGCCGCAGGCGGTGCCGCCGCAGCCGTCCGCCCAGACACCCCAGCAGCAGCTCGCGGTGCCCACCCCGCCGCAGCTGCAGCAGCAGCTGTCCAACCAGAGCTCGTGCTCCATGGACGAGCGCCTGTCGGTGGACCAGCTGGCTCACCTGCCCGAGCACCAGCAGCGCGCCGTCAACAAGCTGGTGCACGAACTGCGCTGGCTCATGCGGGACGAGGTGGCGGCGTGCGCGCTGGACGAGTGGCCCGTGACGGAAGCCACCCTCTCCATGGTGGCGGAGCACATCTCGTCCTCGCTGGGACGCTCCACCTGCCTGCTGGAGACGGTGCCGCTGCACTTTGTCTACGAGACGGGCAAGTGCCTCGAGAAGTTCCTTGAGGCGCTGGTCGACCTCCGCGTCAACGGCTACCGCCTGCAGTCCGAGGGCGTCGCCACGTTCTATATGGTGAAGGACGCCAGTGTGGTCGTCGACACCTGTGAGACCCCGTGCGACCCGTCCGAGGCCGGGTGGGAGCCGGGCGAGGGCGAGGTAGACGCGGCGAGCACCCCGATCATGCCCCGGGTGGCCACGGAGAGCACGATCGAGCAGTCCACGGATGGGTCCGCCTCCACTCACGACAACTTCCAAGGAGGGCCGCCGGGTGCGCACGGGGAGGAGACCCCCCTGGGCCACCTGGGTCACCTGGGCTCCCTCTCCGGTCTCAACCCGGACAGCGACCTCTGCAACTGGAGCGAGGCCGCGGCCAGGAACAGCGAGGTGTCCAGCCTCCTAGAGAGCGCGTTGGGCACCGAAGACGGTAAGAGATGGATGCTCGGGGCCCTGGGCCCTCCTACCTGAGGTCGCTCCAGATCGCTGTTTAACCAGGTGTCTTGTGTTTCAGGCTACGATGGAGGTAGCAGTGATTCTGCTCAAGACTGCGCCTGGCTACTAGAGCTTGAGCGTAGTCGAGACAAGTTACCTAATTTTTGGATCATCTTGCGAGTTGAGGGAGATCTAGTCTATGTCTATTTCCACTGCAGGTATGTGTCACATTCTATCTGTGGTGATTCAAGTTTATGTATCTAAATTGCGTTCCTCACATTTTTTTATTTTCAGATTTTTGGATATGGAAACAGAAGAGGTTTCCTCCTATAGGGCTGTGTTTACTGGTGTGTTGGAACAATTGCGGAGACTGTGTATTCGTGTGAACCAAACACTCCTTCTGTCCACATTAAACGACACATTTTTGTGTGATGCTCTATTGGAGCCAGAACAAGCAGATGACAGTTGGACTGGAGGTGATGTTGTTCTAAATCGACTTAAGTCTCTGGAAGGTCAGTTAAAATTGCGATAGTTTAAAAACAGCTTCTTTGGTCCATTGTACAAAAATTATCACCAAACAGTAAACTATCGTTTCTTACAGACAATCGTGAGACCGACCAAGCTACATCTGAATCTCTATCTGCCAGTGGAAGAACCATTGCAAAGTTTGAACCTGGTCACTTCTCGTGCGGTGTAGTGTGGGAAACCAATTTTATGCTGCACCATCGACTGAAGACTGGCCCTGGAAAGGGGGGTCTGTCGAGGGGGATACAGGCCCTTCGCAATGTCCTCAACCGACTCAGCGTCACAAACAGAAGAAACATGTTTGTTTACAAGGACAAGCAGGGCAACGTCTTCTACTTACGGTAATTTTCCCGATGGCTCGTCGCCCTGGTACACATATAGGTGGCCCCCAAACCCCGGCCACTTCCGTAGGTATACGTTGACGCATGCATGCGTGCGTGCGGGTTGTCTAACTCGGGTTCGTAAGGCGCGATTGAAGCAAACGCCCCGACATATGCGAAAGTGGGTGGTGTTTGCCTGTTCACCGTAAATGTTGTTCTTTTAAATTATGAGCAAATTTTATACAGCCCTGTGACAATTGCGTCGTTTCCTCAGACTGCACGAGAACCAGCGCGGCCTGGCCAAGATGAGCGCGCCGTGCATGGTGAACCTGGGGACGGGCCTGGGGCCGATGGGGTCGCTGACGGGCTCCGTCGGGCCGTACACGCTCCACGGCTACACCGGGGAGAGCTCGCCCTGCTCCGTGTCGCGGAGCTCGTCCACCGCGTCGCTCAACACCTCCCGCCGGCTGCACCCGCTGCCGCACGCCGCCGAGGACGTGGCCTCCGTGTCGTCCATCTCGGGCGACGTCCACAGCCACAGCCAGGCACTGCGGCCGCGGGTGCGCTCGTTCGGCGAGAAGGATGTGACCCCGCTCAGCTCGTCCGGCGAGGGCCGCTGGAGCCTGGCGCCGTCGCTGCACGGCCACGGCCACCACGCGCACGCCCCGGTGCGCGAGGACTACATCACGCTCCGCGTGCACGGCATCTCGGACGCGGGCGGCGACGTGCGCCAGGATCTGATGCAGGTGCTGCAGAACAGGCTCGACGTGGCCGTGCTGGACGTGCTGTCCGTGATGCTGGCGCGCAACCCCATGTGCAAGCTGGCGCCCGAGGACGTGCACTTCATCCAGCGGCCCAACCAGCCGCCCGAGACCAGCGTGCAGGTGAGTCCCGCGCGCCTCACCCATCAGCGCGCCTATTCCTTGCGACGCCTGCCTGAGAACTGTTCCTGCCCCCCAGTTCTCCGTGCCTGCACACGCCGAGCTCCACGTGCAGGCCCTGGCCTACTACCTGCATCAAGACCTGCTCCACTTCGTCCACCAGCCCAAGTACACGGAGCCCATGCCCAGCGGGCACTTCCAGGTGAGTGCAGACACCTCCGTCGGGTAGTGTACCTGCCCCTGCAGCACGTCGGCTGACGCCTCTGCCGCCTTGCCGGCGCTCTGCCCCCAGGACTACTCGCAGCCGCCAGACTCGCCGTCGCACATCCCCGAGGGCTACCTGTACCTGTACAACCAGAACGCCACGGCCACCGGCAGCCGCGGCATCGCCTGCCTCGCCATGGGCGTGATGGACCGCGCCGGGCACCTGATGCTGCGCAGCAGCCCCTTCCGCCGGCCGCAGCTGTGGGCGCACGCCGAGGCGCCGCTGCCCGAGCACTTCCAGGACCTGACCACCGTCCGGAGGTACTGGCCCGACGCGCCCGCGCCCGCGCACCCGTGCGGCGCGGCGCCCGCGGCCCCCGACGCGGAGCTGGACTCGGCCGCCCGGGTCGAGTTCCGCATCTGGCAGCAGGGCCGCGTCAACATGGAGGCCCTGGTGGCCAAACTGGAGAGCGCGGTGAAGCACGCCGTGTGGGACCTGCTGACCGAGTTCACCATCCTCACGGCGCCCATCGAGGAGGCGGGCACGCCCGCACCCACCCCTGTGCTCACCCCCAACTCCACGCCGTCCACTACCCCGAACCCCAACTCGTTCTCTTTGGCTCTCTCTCTTTCAAGTAAGTTCTGCATCCGTCGTTGGGTAGTGCTGCGAGCTGACTCGACTTCTAAAGGTGGCGCTCTCTGTTGTAGCCCCTCAGCCAGTGAACTATGCCTCACGGTCTCAGTTGCACCCTGTGTACCACAAATCAATGCAGCCCTGGCTGGAGTATGCTGTAGAACTGGGTGTAGCATCAGTGCGGAAACACAATGTCCAGCTAGCCTCACGGTTGGAATCACCATTACGTGTTTATTTTTGGTTATTTTATTGGATACGTTATGAGAATTGTTTTCATCTTTATTGATGCATTTTTTCAGGCACTCCCTGGGGGTTGCCGTGCAGGAGCTGGAGTCACTTATAACAACACATGCCAAAGATACAAGAACAGCAGTTTTTGCTGAGGAAATTGATTCTAATGGAGGAGTGATGTACAGGCAATGGCGCTGGAATGATGAATGTAATTTTCTCCCAACACGATGCCTTTTGCTAACTCGCAATACATCTCAGTGGCGTTGCTTTGTAGCTGACCCAAGAGGACCTCCATCTAAAGCAGATGCAAAGGGTGTGTAATCTCATTATTACCACTACATGATAACAAGTGTCTTGAAATTAATCTTGAAATTAATCTTGATATTTTTAACTTTTCTTTCAAGTTGCTAACAAAGGTCTGCAGAAGTTTTTACCTCTTCTTGGCACTACTCCTCAAGACCACCGTTTTGTGCCCAGGCAACGGTTCCTGCTAACTGTTGTCACTAGCAAAGATGTAAGACACTTTCTCCTTTGCTTTTTCAACTTCTTTACAGTCACCTTTAAAATCTAGTAAACCATTAATCTTAAAAAAAAATCTTTTTCATAATTTTTATTTTTACTTTTGCCATTATTTACAATTTTAGATGGCTATTCTCACCTACAACTGGTCCAAAGAATGTGTAGAGAGTTTAAATTACCAAACTACACTGTTGGGGCACTGGTTAAGTGCCCGATCAGGCTTACTGACCAGCATAATTTGTCAAAAGATGGGGTTGTTCCACAACCAGCCATGTTTGCGAACATCTGACAACAAGGTTTGTAGTCATTAAGGTTTAATTTTTTTTTCTTTTTAAATTACTGGCGAACCGTAATTGATAAATACATGAAACGTTTTCATTTTGAACTCGCAGAGTAACCCCTACCTCACTAAGGTGGGCGACTTGGACATGCTGACCAAGTTTCCGCGGAAGGAATCGCTGGGTCCTTCTGGGGGTAGCGGGGGCGCCCGGCGGAGCGGCGGCTGGAGTGGCAACAGCGGCACGTCGACGCCCACCTCGCCGCACCCGGCCCAGCAGGCGCAGCAGGCGCAGCAGACCGGCAAGGATCCCGGACAGCAGGGCCTGCCGCTGCAGGCGCTGCAGCACGTGTTCCGGGACCGCAGGGCCGCCCCGCTCAAGAGCGGCCCGGGCGACCTGGTGGTGCGGCACGCCCGGCAGATGCTGGCCACCCGGCACCTGGACAAGGACGCCGACCACCAGCGCAAGCTCAACAGCCTGTGGCAGAACCGCGGCGGCGCCACGCCCAACATCCCCCTGGCGCCGGACGTGCTGCAGCTGTTTCTGCAGCACGCGCGCACCATCCACTACTGCCTGACGCCGCTGCTGTTCCTGCCGCGCTGGAGGGTCGACTCGGCCGCCACGCGCGACCACTCGCTAAGCGTGAGCCCGCCCACGGGGGGCGTTGGGGCGGCGGGGCCGGGCGCGCTGCGCTCCACGCCGCGGTCCACGCCGCGCACCACGCCGCGGGGCACGCCCGCCAAGGAGCGGCGCGGCAGCAGCGCGAGCATGAGCCTGGGCGCGCGCGAGCACGACCGCTGGCACGCCACGCTGTGCGCGCACTTCGTGCACGAGTACCAGCAGTACCTGCAGACGCTGGGCTTCATCCCGGTGCACACCGAGCCCAGCGCGCAGTCCCTGGCGGGCGGGCCGGGCACGGCGCCGCGCCGCCGCCAGAGCCACTTCCTGCAGAAGTCCCTGCTGGGCGGCGTGCTCATGGTGGAGCTGCTGCTCGCCGAGCCCTTCTTCCACTCGCGCCTGCACGCGCTCGAGTGCTCCCGCATGCAGACCAAGTCCCCGGCCTTCATCTCGCAGTTCACCGTCAGCTTCCTGGACGAGTGCGACAAGGTGAAGGTGCTGCTGCACCTGCACTCGTTTGCCTACGACTACCACCTGCGCACCCTCCACGGCTGTGTGACCTCCCCTGGTCCTGGGATCGGCCCCCTCATCGGGCCGGGCATCGGGCCCGGGGGTAGCCTCTTGCCGCCAGGCTACCACCTCACCTTGTTCCTGGACGACTTCCTCAAGTACTACTCGAAGGCGCCGAACTTCGCTCGCAACCTGGTGCATGCTGACACCGTGGTGGTGTCGGACATCGCCACCCCCGGCGTGCAGCTCTTCAGCTACCTGCTGCAGAACGACAAAGCGTACGGAATGGAGGTGTTCCGGATGGCGCCCGTCACTTACGACGAGCACGACCAGGACTCGTGCAGCGTCCACATGCAGAGCGAGTTTGTGCTCGTCCAGCACAAGACCACCCCGCACCTGTCGTACCGAGACGTACACGACCTCAAGCAGACCGACGACTTCGACGTGACGCTCATTGTGACGCACGACCCGAGTCCCGAGCTGCCAGACCAGAACCAGCTCAAGCTCAAGTACTTCATCGTGCTGACCAGCCGGCGGGAGCTCTACCCGAAGGCGGAAGTGGAGCGGAAGCAGGGCAAGTTCCGCACCGTGTCGACGGCCAACGTCCCGGGCAACGCCGTGTCCCTCCCGGCCTCTACGCCGCCCCCCGGGCCGCCGCCGCCCCCCGGGCCGCTGCCGGCCCCCACCACCATCACCGCCCAGGTTGCCGTGCCAGTCGCGCTGCCCCCTGTGGCCATCGCGACCGCGGTGCCGGCCGCGCCCCCCATCATCGCGCCCATCATCAACACCATCACGGACTCGAACGGCTCCATGCACAGCGCCTCGCCGTCGGCGCCCTCTACACCAGGTGAGGACATCCTCGAGTACGAGAACATCCCGGATAGAGCGTCGACGTCTGCTCTGTTCACCCAGTGTTTGACATGTAGCATATATTTTTTCAGCCGCACCCAACGCTCCCGTTCTCCTAGAAGTGGTCACCCAGGACGTCCCCGGGGCACTGACGATCGACAGACTGCCCTCACCTGCCTCTGAGGCCACACCAGACCTGTGTTCTGTTCTAGTCTCGCTCGAGTCGCACTCAAGCTCTGTGCCAGAACTCCCCAACACATTGCCGATTTCCACAGAGTCAGAGTCGTTCAATAGTGATTCCGGCGGTCAACTTAGTTCAAGTCACCACGTGGAAATTAGGTAGGTTGGACTCTTTTGTCCGATTGGCCCTGTATTAAGGTGCTCCCACAGTAAACGTTTCCCGTGAGGTTGGGCCAGTTGGGCGACAGACGTTTTCTCACCCGACCGGGCGGGCCGCCGTCCCCACACAGCTGCTTGGCGGGTTGGCCTACCCAGCCGGCACCAGACGCTATCATTAGCGTTGTCTCGTGAGACGTTCATTGTGGGGATCCCTGGACTTAGATTGTAACGCATGCAGGCGTGCGGGCAGATTTGTCTATCGTCTCCAACCATCGGAAAACTCGCACGAGGCAAAGTGCACCTTTCGCCTCAATTGACAACGTTTTTAACGTGCATCACGTCTTCAGTGAGCGAGTAGGCAGCACGTCCGCACGCGTACATGCCGTATACAGTCTAATTACGGAAGTTGGCGGCCACCGGCCACCATGACCTGGTATAGCACATTCTCACGTGCAATTTTTGTTGCAGGCAAGAAGCAGTGAATTACTTGGGGTACTATTCATCTCATGAACAGCTGATGGGGCAACTGATTCACCAACAAGCAGCTACCGCCCGCAATCATATTGTCTCCATGGTCACTCAAGGTGCAATGCACTGTCGAACACACATGTTGTGGACTCGTCTAATGTGTCCTGCCGTGTCTAACATACGCTCCAACCCTAGAGACCACCAGGTAGGATTAAGACACTTTTTCAAAAAGGTGAAGTAGTTAACTAGAAATATTTCATAGTTACTTATACCTTATATTCATTTTTGCGCAGCAGGGTCAGAGTCTGAGCTTCAGTGAGTTTCGTGAGTTGGTACGCTTGGCTGAAGTGGAACCACTTTCCCGCCTGGATCCAAGACTGAAACCTTTACTAGCTCAACCACTTACTTGGTATCAGGGTCTAGCTCGAGTGCTGTTATCCAAATATTCTGACCACAACCGCCAATTTTTTGCTCCTGATAGCAGTGCTCACCACATTGTAATATTACACCCTCGATACCCAGATGCATTTGTCATGTTATCTCTTGATAACCATACTGCCAGAGGGGTAAGTGTATTGCATTATTTTACTTTGCAGTTGAAACAGTTTTGTTTATATTTCCTTCAAGAGACTTGTTTTACTTTCCTGTTTCTAGGATCTAGCTGTTGTCTACAGAATGCCTCCAGAAGCTTTAAGTGAAAGGAAAGATAGACGGCCAAGTGCTGCTATTAAACCATGCTCCGCAGAAGAAATACATCCTCTAGTAGAGGGCCTTGTTAATGCTTGTTGCTTCCATTTGTGGTCTAGCTTGTTGTAACAAATACTGGTTATTGAATGCTGTGAAGAATGTAAATCCTTATTATTGCGGTCCCTCTTACTATGAATTATTATTTGAGAGAAAAAAAGCTACATACGCTTGAAGTGGAGTAATTGATTGAACAATATTCCAGTTTCAACGCAATTATTCCGTGATTCAAATGGTATCGAACTAATGAGTATTTACGTTATATTTAATGGTGTTGTCCTCTTATGAAATGTGATGAAATTGTTACTTGTTTCTTCATATTGCTGTTGCATTGTTGCCTTTTTAGTTGAACAAGACCCCAATAGTCAATGTTAGTAGTGTGGGTCAATGTGATGTTGTTGCTCATTGTAAATTTTCCTTAATGGGCTTGTTACTTTTCAAATTTTATTTTATTTTCGTCATTGCATGCTCAGTTTAATTTCAGTCCTTGTATATTGTATCCTGTAGGTAATTTATGTCTTCTACAATACACTAGTCAATGACAAATTTATAATTCTGGTTTGTTTTGTATAGGTGATGAATTTTGTGAAAAACCAGCTACGGCATTAGTTTAATCCATCCTATTCA